GGGGGGGGGGAGACCTGGAATGGGGGCTGCCCCATATCAGAGCTTGGACAAATCACTTGGGGAAACCTTCCCACATTGCTTGGTGGCCATCGGTGTGACTGCTCAGCAGACTCTGGGAGCTGTGCTCCAAAAAATGTCTCTTTAACATGATCTCAAAAGCCCACTGGGGGAATGTCATAAAAGCCTTTCTTGGCTCCCAGAAAGTATATGCCACACTCTTCAACAGCACTCTTCAACTGTATCTATTGTGTGACCATGGATACAGAACTGGGCAGGGATCCCTGAAGCTGTAGCAACGGAGGAGGAGGAGGAGGAAAAGAAGAAGCCACCCCCTCCGCCACAGGGGCTTTGTGGACAAGTTCATGTGCTCACATTGACTTTTGTATACAACCCTTAACGACACAGGAACCTTGTCCTCTTTTTGCATCTGGACTTTGAAACTCCATATGAAGCTCCATTACATATTTTGTTCTCTTCCCTTCCCAAAACCAGGGACTTTGGCTCTCTCAGATTTCAGTATTATCATCAGTTTATTGACAAACACGTGCGGGTTTCCCCAGGTACAAGTCACTCATTGCAGCAACAGCAAGAATCAAACAAACATTTTCTCTTGATAAGGTTTGCCAAGTGAGGCAGAGATTCACTTTGCCCCTTTAACACTACTAAATAAACTGAAGGTGCACAACAACGTACACTTGGTTAAACTGCCTGATCTTCTCAAGGGACAGGAGCCCTCTGCTCTTTGTTAGGTGCATCCCCAGCTAGCATCCATCCAGATTTCCAAGCTCTGCATTATCCAGCAACAAGATCACTCCTGTTACAAGAGGTATAGGAGGCAGACTAGATGGAGTTTAAAAAATATTTTTACTTCTAGCCAAGGGAAACTCACACAAAAGACACACATAGGGAAACTGCAACTTGTGCAGCAACTTTCTGCATGAGGTTTGTCAGTTTGTGCTTCCTCCTTGAAGAGGTTCTACACCTTTAAAAGTGGCACAAAGTACACAAATTATACTACATACTGCCACTGTTGATTATCCCAACAAAAGCTGTATCTATTGAAACTCTGACCTACAGCAATTAACAGTTGGGGAACGGCAGCAAATCTAAATACACAGCATACACCCTCGGGTGGTCACATGAAAAGAAGATTGGGCTCCTATATCTTTAAAGCCAACCTTGAGTTCCTCAGGCATTCTTGGACTACAACTGCCAGAAATCCTGGCCAGCATAGCTCGTGGTGAAGGCTTCTGGGAGTTTTAGTCCAAGAATATCTGGGGACCTAGAGTTGGGAACCACTGCTTTAAAGAGATGTTAAGAAGAAATTTCAACAGGTGCCCTTTGATATGCAAATCACCCTGACGCGACCATTAAAGGTACAGGACCCCAATCCTCTTTTTCAAGTGCCCCATTCACCATAAGTACTTTATAGAGGCTTTTGTGTGTGGAGTGATGTTCTGCATGAGCATGTGGGGAAGCTGGGCCTTGGGAGTTTATGTCACAGGAGATGGCTTAGAGTGGAAGAGCAGTGCTCTGCATTTCTAGGAGTATGATTCTAATTGCAAAGTGCACCGTGGCATCAGCCTCAACCTGTGAGACTCATTGCCATGACAAACCAAAGGAAGGAAAAGTCAGGCAGCCCCAAAGAGCAGGACGTAAATGCTGCCACAGTCATCACCCCCAACATCTGAAAAGCTCAAACCCTCTCCCTAGTCCAGCCATAAATAAGGGAGCAAACCTAGCAGCTGCCACGGCTGCAACACGGGCTACAAACACCCAAGGGCCTTTGTGCTCTTCAAAGCCAGCAATACCAGAAGCTGACGTCTTGCCTTATATAAAGCACTCAAGGGGAAAAGCCATTTTTCAATGCTCACGGCTGGCATCAGCCCAACAGCAGGATCCGGGGTAATGTTTCCCAGACCCAGAGCCAGATGGCCAATTGACTCAGTTGGGGGTCTGGTCTCCCTTTTGCTTTGCTCAGCTCCCCTCTGATCCGCAGAAGAGATAGCTAGGCAGAGACAGAAGGCAGACACAGAGAGCTGCCTTGCCCGAAACTAGGACCTGGCCTCTAGAACAGCAAAGCGAGCCCCCACCTCTGCCTCCACCACTGCCACCCTTGATCCGGCAGGAATCGTCTCCCTTGCTGTGCCCAGCTGAGTCAGCACAAGAGGATAATCATCCTCCACCAGCCGGTCCCCTCCGTTCAAGTCTTTATTTTCAGCCTCGGCACACAATGTCCCTGGGACATCAGTGACTTTGGTCCAGCCTCCCTTTATGGCTGCTCTCTCTGCAACCCAAAGGAGACAATTCAGCTGCCCATGGGCCAGCAAGGAGAAGCACACAAATGTTCAGAGACACTGAAGCTAACTAGCAAACAAGAGGGTGTGGTTGCTACATTTTCATTCACATTGCTTCTGTCAGCTTCTCAGGTCTTCCTGGGCCAGGCACTTATAAGGGACTACTAGACAGATCCTGACTGTGACCTAGAAAGGGAGCTTTTGTATTGAAGGGCCCCGTGGCACCGTGGTTACATTGCAGTACTGTAGCCAAGACTCTGCTCATGACCTGAATTCAATCTCAGTGGGCACAGGCTGTCGGCACAGGATTGACTCAGCCTTCCATCCTTTCAAGAGCAGTAAACTGAGTACCCAGCTAACTGGGGGGTGGGTGGCCTGCAGAATTAAATTGCAAGCTGCCCAAAGAGTGCTTTAAGCATTATGGGGCAGTATATAAGCAGCACGCCTTGCTTTTTGTTTTGCTTTATTCTTTGTGGGCATGTTTCTAACAACAGTGCTCTTACATGTCTTTTGTTGTTTAGTCGTTTAGTCGTCTCCGACTCTTCGTGACCCCATAGACCAGAGCATGCCAGGCCCTCCTGTCTTCCACTGCCTCCCAGAGTTGGGTCAAAGTCATGTTGGCAGCTTCGATGACACCGTCCATCCATCTCCTTCTCTGTCGTCCCCTTCTCCTCTTGCCCTCACACTTTTCCAACATCAGGGTCCTTTCCAGGGACATGCCTAGATGTCAACATATATTTCAGTATCTTCTTTATAAATTTTGAAAAGTTCTGGCTTCAACAGCGGAGTCCAACAAAATTCTCACTCATCATTTAAAAACAACAACAACAGTGCCTCTGTTTGGACAAGGATCAATATACTTGAGGCAGGAGAAGCACTTTTAGGGGAAGACTAGCGAAATGTCTCCTATCCCAACAAAGAACATGTCAACTTACTGAATCCTCTCTCACACAGACTCTCTTCCTCCTCCTCGTGTCCTCTTCAGATAAGGAGGCTGTGACCAAGGAAGAAAGCTAAAACAGCAAATCACTTGTTTCAGGAAAATGGGCACATGCAGCTCACTGTGGTTGATCAGTGGGTCCCTTGCACCCAAGGTATGAGTCAATGTAAGATAAACGAGGACATAAGAGACCAGAATAAAAACCCTCTGGCTTCACTGCAGAGGAACACATAAACTTGGGAGGAAGCCTGCCCAAAATTAAAGGCAGTAAGACAGTGTAACCATTGATTCCACCATTCACTTCAAAATATTTTGTTGGACAGGCAAAAATATTTGGGAATATAAGTCACCAACAGGCCAACAAGGCCTCTGGGTTCCATCCAGGTGTGTCTTCCCAGACCCTGCTGCCTGAGTCAGGGGCACTGATGCTCCTGACGTTCGTGCTTTCCAAGGGAACGGCCTCAATAAAACTCACAGCAACCCACATTCAGTTCATCAGCCAACCTCCGCCAGTTCCCCACCCAGTGATCCCAGGGAGACCTTCTGCACTCAGCCCTCTGAGTGCCTGCACAACACCGTGCTTAACTCCCAGGCTCCACCAGCCCTCCACCAACCGAGCCCCTTCATTTTCGACACCCACGAGGGTCAGCCCTGGACAAGAGACACTGGAACGCTCGGCGGAAGTCCCGGTTGAAGACGGTGTAGATGATGGGGTTGAAGCTGCTGTTGCAGTACCCGATCCAGAAGAAGAATTTGAAGAGGGGCTTGGAGATGCAGCAGTCTTCCCCAAGCACGGATTCAAGGCTGTACGTGAAGAAGAAAGGGAACCAGCAGAGCACAAAGGCACCAATGATGAAAGCCAGGACAAAAGTGAACCTGCGCTCCCGCGCCTGCATCAACCGGTTGGTGGAGACGGACATGTCTCTACTCCGGCGCCGCAGCCGGCTAGAGGGCATGGAGAACAACCGCCGGGGGGTCCTTGGCGGCCTGCTGCCACCGCTGCTGCCTGCCTCCTCTGCCCTCCATTGCCGAGAAAGCCGGGGCAAGCCCGGCTGCGGGTGCGGAAGCTGGCAAGGCTCCAAGTCAGCATTTGCCCCTTCCCCGCTCACTCTGCGGGCCTCACACCTGGCAGTGGTGGCAGTGGCAGCAGCCACCAGGTTGGAGCAGGACATGCGCCTGGCCATGATGACCACCGAGTTCCTGTGCTTGGCCACGTGATAAATCCGGCAGTAGACAGCCACCATGATGAGGCAGGGGGCATAAAAGGAGGCCGTGCAGGAAGCCAGCACGTACCAGGTGTCATTGTGCAGCAAGCACACCTGCTTCTCTTGGGTGGTCTTAAAAAGGGGCGGCACGGAGACAATGGCAGCAATGGCCCAGACGGCACCAATCATACCCTTGATCCTCCGGGGACTCCTCTTGAGGTTGTACCGCGCTGCTCGGGTAACGGCCCAGTACCTGTCCAGGCTGATGGCGCAGAGGTGCATGATGGAGGCTGTGCAGAAGAGCACATCCAGGGACAAGTAGAGCCGGCACCAGAGGTCCCCAAAGCACCAGTAGTCCATGATCTCATTGGCCAAGGAGAAGGGGATGATGAGGGCGGCCACCAGGATGTCAGCTGCAGCCAGGGACACAAGGAAGAGGTTCTGTGGGGCCCGGAGGGCCCGGCTGGTGTATACCGCCAGCACCACCAGGATGTTCCCTATTAGCGTCACAAGGGCCATGGTCAGCACTGCCATCAGGATGAGGCCCATGGCAAGAGGCGAGTAAGGGAAGCCAGCGAGGCCCTGCTCACTCTGATTGTTGGAACCATTTGGCTGCAGCTCCATCCCCTTTGCTCCCACGCCAGGCCATGAGGATGCCTCAAAGGGCGTGTGGGTGGCTCACAGGCTCGCAGGTCTTGCTCTGGCCCTGCTTCCTATGTGGGGCCCAGTGGCACCTCCAGGGCGGGTCCAGAGAAGGGCAGCGTGGCCAAGAGAGGAGATGCCATCCTGGATGGAGAACGGAATAGTACCGTCCTGGGCTGGTACCACAGATGCCGGTGGGGTACATCAGGCATCAGAGAAGACTCCCAGATGTCCATGGTGCAGGACAGATCCTGAGGAGCATCCCACTGGGTCCCCAAAGGGTTCAAGGTCAATCCTGAAAGGAAGAGAGAGATCTGTTTTCTTCCCAGCCGGAGGGTCAGGAACTCACAATCTCCCTGAGGTGCCTGCTTGGATCCCAATTGCTCGGTCGGTCGTGGTCGTCTGAAGGGACCGCCCAAGGGGTGCCTCTGGGTATATAGTCGACGGGTGGAGGTAAGAAGTAGCCTCCCCGCTCGCCTTCCCTCCGTTGCCTGAGACGCCTCCCTGTGCCCTGAACGGATGCGGCGCCCGGCTGAACGGCTTCCTCTCTCTGAGCCACTCCGAGCCCGGGCTTCTCCCGGCAGATCTCAAGGGAGGGGGGGGGCACAGAGAGAGAGGGAAGGAGCGAGCGAGCGAGAGAGGGAGGGAGGGAGGGACGGAGAGTGCCGGCCTGCGGGCCGGCTGGCCAACTGGCTGGCTGAGCGACCCGCAGGCGCCTACCTAGCTCCGGCTCTAGTCCGGGCCCGGGCCGGGAAGGGAACCCTTGCTGCCAACGTCGAGGAACCCAGGAGATAAAAGAGGCAAGGCAGGCCGCTTCCCCTTGCCCAGAACACCTGGCAGGCACCCCCGGCGGGCAAGGCCTGTGCCGTCGGCGAGCGATTCTCTGCCACTGGAATCTCCTTGCTAGGTCCTTTTACTCAGGTGCGCATCCCTCCGATCTGCGGGGGACTTCATCCCAAGGACTTCATCCCCACATCCTGCCCCTCAGAAAGAGGAGAGACGGAGATCCCAGAAATCCGCTTGCGATGGGAATTCGTCCGGCAGAACTTTCCGCTGGGGCTGGGAAGTTTACTTGAGTGCTCATTTATGGCCCTCATCATCATTACTGTCCTAATGGCTGGAAAAAGGGCCCGGTCCGCCGCCAGACCTCTTACCGTATGGTCTTTCCTTTTGGATCCGCTCATTAGAGGGCCGTCTCTCCTGCAAGCTAGCAAACGGCTATGTTGATCTGAGGGTGATGGGATTTGTAGTCGGACGCATGTGGGGAGCATCGGTTAGGGGAGGAAAAATGGACTCTCTCTCTCTTTTTTTTTTAAGTCCCTTGTGTGCAGTCCGCCTGGAGACTGTATATTCGAACTTACAAGCAGTCCCACGTTACCGGAAAAGTACTGTACTCTGTACAGTACGTAGTTTCTGTGGTTGCTCCATCCAGGGGAAATGGACGGCTAAACTGCTTTTTATTAGACGACGACTCCCAGCATCGGCTCACTGCCGTGGTTTGACCCATGCTGGTTGGGAACTCTTGAGCTGCAATCCAGAAAGTAACTCTTCCAAGCATTGGGCGGGGGGAGGGGAATGAACTCTGCACGTGCTCAGAGGAACACTCCCCGTATTAATCCATCGCGTCTGCCCGCACTGAATCTTGCAAGGGGCGCGCGTGAGCGGGGTAGTGGCTAGATGGCATTAAGACACCTGAACGATGGGAAAATCCCTCGCCCCCTTTTATTCTCCCACCCTGTTCCACTCTGTTAATAAAGAGAGGCGGGATCCATTCACTCCACGATACCCTTTCGTCCTTGCCGATTGGCTCAGAAGTCTCTCCCTGGGAGCCACGCCCCTAAGCACTCTCTTGTCGTGAAGCGGGAGGAGGGGAGAGTGGAAAGCCGAACCCCGTTCGGCGCAGCAGTGCCACCCAGTGGCCGATCGCACCCACGACACCTAATTTCCACCCCACCTAAGAGCTGCGCGAACTGTGCTTTGCGCCTGGATGCAGAAGTGAAGGAATTAAGGTTGATGCTTAACATTCAGCGCATCTTAACTGGCAGGAGTTTTGGGAGAGTAGGCGGTTGAATCTTTGAAAGGGCAAGATTGAGGCGCTCTTTGCCAGAAGCCTGCCTATGCAATTTATAGCAACGTTTCCATATTCACATCCAGCGTGTGTGAGCAATGAAAAGGCAGATCTCACAGAATTATTCATGCACTGCATTAAATATTGATCTGCCCAGAACAGCTCGACAAGCAATTAATAGTACTGTGTCTGGTGTGCATTCAGGGAACACAAAATACCCAAGCGCTGCATAATCGGATGCAAACATGGAGCAGAGGTACCACCTCCATCTCTAGATCATGTTGGGCTGCGACACCCACTCTGCTTTGGTCTTGGCTACGCTGGCTGGGGCTAACGGGAGTTGCAGGCCAGGATGGTAGGGAAATGCCCTCACCAAAGGATAGAGTCTCTTGGAGACTTTATTTAGGGGTGTGTTTATCTGATCTCTTTGGGTATGTGCGGTTGTGCATCCACAGGATGCTTCTGCCAGGCCAGTGCTGTCTGGAGGATTTGGCTCTAGAATTGCTCTCTTATCAACACAGATCAGCTCCAGCTTCTTTGCTTCAACCTCTAATCCATTTTAATCAACAGTTGTGGACTTTCTTGGAAGGAGTTACCATAAATTACGTAGGTAGGTAGGTAGGTGTTTTTCGTCGGCCTTAAACCACAGCACGACACGGAAGCAATGGGCATCTCTGGCACTCCTTCTCACTTGAATGGCTATGGGACTCCTTGTTCTTTTATTGCATTGACAGTCCATTCTTTCACATCCATGCAGAATTTGCATGTACTGGTTCCCCTCCTCATCAGGTCATACTTTGGAGGCTTCTGTTTGATAAACCTGTACTTATTCAGACCTAGGGCCATGGGTCTTTGGGGCCTGGTGTTGGTTTGATGTTGCGCCCCTGCTGCTACCCCTCATAAAGACCCAGGGATGGAGGTCGGGCACTGTGGTAAGCCACACAGCAGGGCAAAGGCAGAGGCTAACAGGATGCTGAAGGGTGGAAAGACTTTACTTTGTGGGGCCTGGGTCAAATTCAACAAGCTGGCTGGGGAATTTTGGGTGTCCAACATTTCCCAAAGTTAGAGTTTTACTTGTGTTGGCCAAATGCTCCTGACTCAAAGGCCCACAGCCATTATGCGGCGAGGACACTTACAAACAGCTCTAATTCTTCGGTGAAAATATGTTTATTAAGTGATGTGCAAAATAATTAGAAGCATTTTAAGCAACAACTAACAAACATTCCCACTACTGCCATAAAGTGTATATTTCTTAAAGACAGGACAGGACAAGCTTCAGAGAAGGGGGGAAAAAAAGCATTTTGATGTTCCTATGAATTGACAGTCCCCAGCAGAGAACCTGCCAATGTGTCAGGTTCATCCCTTCTGAAAGAGTATTTTCTTAAGTGTTCCAATTCTCTTGAATAATAAAGGAGCTCCTGGGTTCCAAAAATACACAGGAATAAAACACTTCTGTTTTATGTGCAGACATTTTAATTAGCCTCCACTGGCTGCTAGCTATAGATCGGCATTGGAACACTCTGCTCTACTCTGGTTGAGCTGGTAAGGGAACAAAAATAACCCCATGCCCCATTTTATGAATAATGGAAGCCACATTTTCCCCCACAGTCTGGATTCTCATTTGAACCACTAAACTTCCGTTTGCAGTCTGTCTGAAAAAGAAGCACTCCTGCCTTCCCCTATCCCAGTCCTGTGCTAGTGAGTCTTTCTTCAGTATCAGCGAAGACACAGCAAGGGATTGTTTAATTTTTATTTTAGTAAATTGTGAATTGGCTCATTGAAGACCCGAGTGGTGAACTACTAAGCTTGCTGTGCCACTCTTGTCCGCTTGAAGCTTCATAGGTAAGAGGTTGTTAACAACATACCACAGAATGGGTCTTCCGGACGTTGTTAGTCCCCTGTCTCCCATCAGCCCCAAGCAGCATGGCTCATGGTTGGGGATGATGGGAACTGCAGTCCAACTGCATTAGAAGGCAATAGTGTCAATCCTACCATATTGTTAGGATAAAAGAGTGGCAAGTTCTTTCTGGACAGCACTGCTTAGTTATGCTTCATGTTGCCAATATGTCATATACAGTATTCTGTAAAATACCACTCAGGAGAAGTTATTCCTGTGACAGCACTCGGGAGAATCCCAAGTACAGTTATAGAAATAACTTCCCTGCCACCTCAGTACAAAACACTGGGAGCTCAAATATTACTCAGTGATTGCTCAGGGCACATATGCCATCACTGTGCATGAAGACACTCATTTCGACAGGTCTTTAGCTCCCCTGCATTGATGCACATCATGCACAAGAATAAACTCAGTGTCACACACAGTTATAGACGCACTTCCCGTGCTGGTTTGCAGTCTTCTGGAGCCACTGTGCACAGAGGCATATGAGCGCACAATAGCTGGGACAGAGAGGCACCCACAGCAGTGCTACAATTGTGGGTCATGCACAGCAGCCACTAGCTCCAAGCTGGCACAGTAGCAGATGTACCTTCTTGCCCTCAGAGGTCAACTTCATCATTCCTTTTATGCTAAGAAAGCTCCATCTTTAGGCAACAAGGGAAATTGGGTTTCCCCCACACACATTACAGGCGAGTAGCACCCTGCATTGGCAGTGACTTCAGACAAGGTGGGGACATCCTCGGTGGCAGAGATAATTCCTCCAAGAAGTTGAGAGAAGGATTGTGCAGGCCTGTCCTGGCTTTCAGCTGAGGAGACAGGTCGCAGTCTTCATCTTGGCCGCCTAATCGGCAATTAGCACAACACCACATCACCCTGACGATCAGTCTGTCTATGGGGCGCAGGGAATGCATCCAATGTGGCAGGAAGTCCCAGTTCCGAAGCCACTGGGGCAGCCGGCTAGGGCTTCGCAACTGCATGAACTTGACCAAGACCACACAAGCCAGGAAGCTCAGGAAGGGGGCTCCTATGCCCACCAGCACCCGCCATCCTGCCATGGAGAGTCCAAAAACCAGCGATGGCAACAACAGGAAGCAGACGAGCAGGTAGAAGACTGCAAACCAGCGATATTTAGCGGTCTGCTCCCCTAGTGCTCTGGCCATCGCGATAGGGAGACGGGTGCAAGGCAGAGGATACCACAACAGGATGCCGGAGATGTTGAAGAAGAAATGGCAGAGTGCAATCTGAGGAGGGAAGGCAGAAACAGAGGAACCATCAGTGACCCAATTTTGGGAAGGAGTGATTCACTCGGCTGAAGAGTTTCAGTTGGGTGAGGGCATTTGCTGGACTACAACTCTCATCAACCCCAAGTCAGCATAGCCAACGGTGACAAACTGTAGGATTTGCAGTCCCAGCAAGATCTGGAGGGCCAACGGCTCCAAACTGCTGAATAGGGAATGTAGAAGTATATCATGTGTGTGTGCATACACAGGGCCCTTTCCCCCTTGTTTCTTTTCTTGCGTCTCTCTCTCTCTCTCTCTCCCACTTGTACTTCTTACTGAAGTAGCCTGGACTTCCTGGTATTGAGGCATTTGACCAAGCATGTTTTGTGGTGTAAATTAAAGGTACGCATCTTTAGCTGAGGAGCGTTGCTTTTGTAAATGAATCCCAACTCACCTGAATAGGGAGAGAGAGAGAGTTGTTGGCCTTACCTGGAAAGCAGGGGCCAGTTTCTCTCCTGGACTGGCCAGGGCTGCTAGGATAGCAGTGGTTGTGGTTCCAAGGTTTGAGCCAAGAGTGAGTGGATAAGCACGTTCTAGGCTAATTGCCCCAAGGCCTGCCACACAGAGAAGAAGAGATCGTAGTCAAGAAAGCATCTTCCTTTCTGACAACACCATGGTCAACCCTCAGACCCGCACATGAGTGGGAAGCTGCCTGGAGGTGAGCGCCTTCAACTTGTTCTGGATTTATGAAATCCTCAGCTGGCATGCTGCTGGGAGTTTTAGTCCAAACATAATTTTTCCAATCACTGCAGTAACCAAAGTTTCTTTCAGCTGCAGTGATTTGTATCATCTTCTATCCCTGGACGTCTAGGGACAGGTGTGTTTCCTATCATGGTGCCATCAACATTCACGTGTTGATCAAGGATTCGGGGTGCACTGTGATCTTTCATTCTAAATGCTTGTACTTCATAGGTATCCTGGGTTGGCTACTACAACCAAGAATCGCAGGATCATCGTTCCAATTCATATCACGCTGGCTGCGAGAGGTATAACTTATAGGACTCTTTCTCAGGCCTGACAGCTTGGCATTCCCTCCTGGGGCAGATACAGACTATGACTCTGGTTGCTTTTGCTTCCTTTCATACATGTACACCCACACAGAATAGCCTCCTGCCCCAGGGCATCTGCTTCCCTAAAGAAGGGGGATAATTGCTGACTCACCAATGAGTGGGGTGATTGCAGATGTGAAGACGGAGCTGCTCTGTACCACAAAGGTCATTCCTGCACCAACAAGCATGGCGAAGTAACCTGTGACCCAGCCAAATGGCGATGGCAGATCTGCCGAAAGCAGCACAAAGGTCAGAAAGAACAAGGAGGCCAGGCTGACTTCTCCACTCGGATTTCGCCACAGGAACCTAGTTGGGGCCCCTGAGGAGGTCTGAAGTTCAGAGGTTCCACTAGAATCCAAGGCTTTTTCAGTCAAGAAACCACCTCCACCAATGCCATCAGGGGCAGGTATCTGTCCTTAGTTTGCCTACCTGTGTTGATGACCTTCTGGATAGATCTGGCCACCTGGCCTTTGAGCACAGAGCTGAGTAGCTTGACTAGCATGATAAGGCAGGTACACAGCACAGTCAATGAGCTGGCCAGCAACACAAGGCCCACAGCCAGGTCTGGCAGGTAAGTGTCTACAAACAGATGATTGCCTGAATAAAAGAATAGAAGTCAATGTGAAGTGCAGAGAGGGTCCGGGTACCAACCCTTTATCTGATGCTTCCTTCACTGCCTTCACAATAGGAGTGGCCCATTTCTAGCTGCTGTGTCTTGCAGAGTTTTGCTGCCTAAATTCTTACATTTTTGTTGCATGGCACTGCTGAGGTTCCCAGATGCTCCTAGGTGGCACTGGGCAGGGGAGCTGCAATTCAGGAATCTACCTCTAGCCCCTGTGGAAGAAATCTGAAAAGAGAAAGGAGGAGACTGAAAAATCAAGCGATGTTCTCTTTAGGTGCTAAATTAACTTCACAGTAGTATGGAAAATAATGCTCAATGTGGAGATGGTTTTTCACCCTCTTTTCTAGATGAAAAAGAGTTACATCCTCAGGCAACATATTGTAAACGATGGGATTTATTTCCACCCAATGCAGTGATGGCTAACTATTTATAATGGCTATAAAGGGGTCTGACCATGTTTATACATGATACAGCTCAACACCTACCAGTCATAATCGCCACATGATATCTCCTAGGTTAAAAGCAGACATGCCTCTCAATGCCTGCTGTTGGTGAACAACAGCACGACCGAGCTCTCATCCTCATGTTTTACTGGAAATATCTTCCATGTTAAAAAAAAAATTCCGATAATATTGTGAGTTTTTTAATGTTACAATTTTCTTTTCATTCTCATGACATTATCTTAATCGAATGTTGTTAATCTGCCCTGATTTATTTTTATCTAAAGGGTAGGAAATGTATGACTATAATAAGTCATTATCATCATCTTAGAACTGCAGAGCTGGAAAGGACCTTATGGATGATTGAGTCCAGCTCCTATCAAGAAGCCAAGTGGGGAACTGATCTCCCAACCTTTGGCTCCTCAGCCAGATGCCTAAACCACTGAACTATCCAGCAGTTCTCTATCACTTTCACTCATTCTGATCCGTTAAAAGCCGGCTGATGCCACATGAAGCAACACTGACATTGTTGAGAATTCTATCTAGTTGTCTCTGGAAAACTCAGTGTACACCCACCCCCCTTTGCACCCTTGGCTGTCTAGATCTGTAAACACTTTCCGTTTTCGAAAATGTCAGAGCAACCTTGGCTGTCTAGATCTGTAAACACTTTCTGTTTTTGAAAATGTCAGATGGTCCGGGCACTGTTGTGTATCCCTCACCAGCATATTCTTCCCCACAGTGTTTCCATCTTCCCTCTGCCCTACGCTCTCTCCAATGATAAAACACTCACCTGCTCAGGTGGTGCCTCACACCACACTTGGATCAGACTCCTGTTGTGCAAGCTCTCGTTGCCTGTGGCAATGCCTGTGATCACAGACTTATCCAGCTGTAGGAAACAAGGAAAACCCTGTCAGTGATGGGAGAGAGGGATCCCAAAGACTTTTCACAAGGAGTGGAGAACAAGCAGAACCCTGGCCTAGAAAATCCTAGACCAGCATGGTTCAATCTTGCTCTGAAACTGAACCCTGGCCTAGAAAATCCTAGACCAGCGTGGTTCAATCTTGCTCTGAAAGGATGAGACTAGAGGGTAAGAGTTCAACTGTAGCCTCATCTGGATCCATCCTAATCTCTCACACCAAAAAGGAGCTCTCGCGAAATGAGGGTGAAAGGATGAGACTAGAGGGTAAGAGTTCAATCTGGATCCATCATAATCTCTCACACCAAAAAGGAGCTCTCACGAAATGAGGGTATTGTGAAGGTGGCATCCTCTGTGAAGGAAAGAAGTAGTAATATGTCGGTGTATCCAGGAAAGCAGTTCAGTCTGCCAACCTTAGCACCCTACTGCTTGTTTGCTATTTGTGGGAACTAAACTTTGAATCTAGAGGCAAAAGTTCTCGAATAGTTGACCAGTACTACTCATAGAATCTTCCCTAATAACTCCCTTTTCCTTAGAATGTTCAGGGTCTTGTTTGGCTCCTGCTCTGAGCTTCTTATTGGCTGGAAGCTCTCTGTATCATTTTTTTAACTCTGTTGACTGGTCTGTAATCTTCTATTCATGACCTGAAAGAAATAAAGCAGGACTTTCCCACCCTCAGCCCTTGGCATCTCCATTTCTTTCCCTGCTTTTCTTTACTGCATGCTGAGCATTACCTCTTCACCAGTAGCCAAAGCACTCTCTTTGGCCCCAAGTTTATTGAAAGTAGGAGATTCCATTCACTCCAAATGATGGTCAGCTTTCAGAGTTAGGGCCTGTCCACACTGGCATATAGATATGATATATGATTTGCTGAGGGCATGGTTTGGATTGGGGGGAAGACCTCGTTCGAAAGTGTTTCTGCTTAGAACAATCCATCCTTCCCCTTTGCTGTCGTGCACCTTTCTGGCCCAGTGGTAGGGCATGCCTTCTTTTTGGCATGCTCATTAGCCAAGAGATAGCTTCCAGCAGCTGCAGATTCTGAGGGAGAGTTTGAGAGAGAGAATGAGGGAAGAGAAGCAAGGAGGAGGAAGGGAAAAAAATTGAAAGGCATTGACAGAGGGAGGGGAGCGGTCTGTCCAGACTTGCTGTTTTTTGTTTGGGGTGGACTGAAATACCAAGAGTCTGTTGAGGTGGATGGAGAGGAGTGATGTGCCATTTGGTGAGCTCCTTCCCTCTGAACAGCAAATTACTCACTGTAGTCTAATCAGCTGTCAATAAAGTGCTTTCCGCTTGTCTGAGGAGGGTCAGGGGAAATGAGTTTTTTTTAAAAAAAACTTGCCCCTCTCTCCCTCTGTCAGTGCTGTTCTATTTTCTCCTCCCCACAAGCTCAATAGACCCTTTGTAGCCTGATCCAGACCACACTCAAAACAGTCAGTCTGGGCAGGCCATTCATGGCTTGACTAAAAGAAGCCACAGCCTTTAGTTTGCAAGACCTGAGCAAGGCAGTTAATGATTGGACATGTGAAGTTCGTTCATTCATAAAGTCATCACAAGTTGGAAGCAATACGATGGAACCAAACGACAAATTGCAAGACCTGAGCAAGGCAGTTAATGACTGGACATGTGAAGTTCATTCATTCATAAAGTCATCACAATTTGGTAGCAACACGATGGAACCAAACGACAAGGTGCTGTGCAGATAACATTGGCCAGCTAGAGAGGACTGTAAGGTGGAATGTTCAAAGAGTCAAGCGTGGGAGGAACTTAATTTTCTACCCACAACAAAGACAAAATTAACCATAGCTGATTGTCTCGTTGCACATACCTGGATGATGAGACTAGTGAAGGGCTCTGTGATTACTTTCAGGAGCTCAGGAGCATCCTGTCCAGTATGGAAGCTGAGAGTTGCGACTGCAGCCTTGGTGAGGTGATATAAATAGCCACTGGACACCTCAAGAGGCAGCAAAACAAGCACTGACAGCCAGTTGAAGCAGTCATGAATGGTGGCCCCTGCAAAGGCCCTGCCAAAGAGTAGAGGAACCATTTTGGGCATGAGACATAGCCGCTAGAGTGCAGAATCAGTAAATGGAAGAGAGATCCCTCAACTGGGCAATCATCCTTTTTACTAGCTATCATACAGAGGAACCATTTTGGGCATGAGACATAGCAGCTAGAGTGCAGGATCAGTAAATGGAAGAGAGATCCTCAACTGGGCAATCATCCATTCACTAGCTATCATATCAATTACCATACAACTTCTTTCTGCTTTGCTCTCCCACCCCCAAATGTGCCCCTCTGCTTTGCCTGTCCCATCACTCCAAGGTGCCAGTCACTCCCCTTTTGAAGTGAGCTTGTTCTTCACTATTGCAATTAATTCTAGTAGGGCTCAGCAGCCTCCACCACTTGCTGACATCATCCTAGAGTTTCTGAGTGCTGACATTAACCCTCATTAACCCGGTCTTCATCTGTCTCTGTTGGCAGCCTGCTGTTCTCTCTGACAGAGTTCACAGATGCCGGCCACTTCGGTCCAGTTTCTTTCCACCCTCCCACCCACCTATCCCAGCTCCTGTTCTGGCTCTCGGGCCCCTATTCTAGGCCCAGCGGAAGCACTCACCTCTTAAAGTCATTCCTGTCACTGGCATGCATGAGTGCCACAATGGTGTTGGTGACTGAGGTGCCGATGTTGGAACCCATGATGATGGGAATGGCTGAAGCGACCTCCAGCACTAGGAAGTTATAGGGAAGACATGCTTGCTTACTATGTAGCTATCACTAGATAGGCATTATTTTATGATAAGTGGCTTGCACGTTTGGTTATTCAGTAAGCAATTACTGAACACTAGATAGGCATTATTTTATGATAAGTGGCTTGCATGTTTGGTTATTCAGTAAGCAATTACATTAATGACAACATGACTTACACCCCGAGGAGACCATGCTGACAATGATGGAGCTGGAAGTGCTGGAACTCTGGACCAGAACAGTGACAAGGATTCCCACCACGAGTCCTGCGACTGGATTGGAGAGGACTGCATTGTCCTTGAAAGGCATTATTTTATGATAAGTGGCTTGCATGTTTGGTTATTCAGTAAGCAATTACATTAATGACAACATGACTTACACCCCGAGGAGACCATGCTGACAATGATGGAGCTGGAAGTGCTGGAACTCTGGACCAGAACAGTGACAAGGATTCCCACCACGAGTCCTGCGACTGGATTGGAGAGGACTGCATTGTCCTTGAAAATGTCCCCTGCGACTTTACCTTGAAGAGGAACAGAGTTTATCAAAAGATCTGAGCAAAGGGACACCTGCTGAGCCTCCCTCTCCCGCCATTGATCCAAGGAAGTCCTACAGCTCACAGTTCAAGGGCAGCTCCACTGGCTGCCGATCTGTTTCCAGGAACAATTCAAAGTGCTGGTTTTAACCTATAAAGCCCTAAACAACTTGAGTCCAAGGTATCTCGTGGACCTCATCTTGCTTTATGAGACCTGCCTGTGTGTTGAGATCATAAGGGCAGAGCTTTCCCACCACCTTCACAGGTGCCTTTGGTGGGGACACAAGAGAGCGGGCCTGCTGCTGCTAACAGACTCTGGAACTCCCTCCCACAGGAGGCTAGACTGGCCCCATCTTTACTGTCCTTCCATAAGTGGGCAAAGACTTTTCTCTTCAGGCAAAACTTTCCCTGAGTAAACAGCTGCCAAGTGGGGTTTTAAAAATGGATTGTTTATTGCATTGAATATATTTTGGTGTTCCTGGTGTTTTTTTTTTGTATTGTATTCATTGATCATTTTTAATATATAATCATTGCGACAAAATTAAATACTGTCTTTCAATTGTTGTAAGCTGCCATGGGTCCTTTTTAAAGGACAAAGATGGGTTAAAATATTTTAAATAAAAATAAATAAGTAACATGCATTCCTTTATTTGTCTCATCAGTCAAGCAGTTCAGTTATTAAGGCTTTAAAAGGTGTCTTTCCTTGGAAAACTGCTGCCAGGAGACAAAAGATTGTGTGTGTGGGGGGGGGGAAACTACTGGTAGTTCTCTGGAAGGAACTGCCATAGATCTGCAAAGATTTCTGCCTCCGCCTCTCACCCACCCCCACGTTTAACAACAGCAAAACCCAAGTGGTTTTCTTCACTTCTAAATTAGGTGAGTAAAATGAACAAAGTGATAACTAGGAGTGGATGTTTTGAGTGAAAGCAATGCAGTCTCAGTTCTGATGTCCAGAACCAACTTTTGGCCTCAGGAATCTCAAAGGCACCCAGTTCTACTCAGGATATGTCGGCCCTGGGCTGCTGCTTAACACCCACACTAGTTGGCAGAGCTTGATCGGAACCACCTTGATAATTTGGCACATAGAAGCAGTTTGGCTCTGGCAGCCACAGTGTACCTTGCACCCATCTGCCTTCTGCTTTAGTATTCTCCACTACTCCATCAACAGTGTGGAAGAAAATTTCAGACACTAGACCAGTTGCATATTTTACTTTAGATCTTAGACCCACATTGCAGGAAGTGGGTCTATGGATCATCAAGTTGGGTCACTGTGAATGAGGCACAGTGGGGAATTGAACTCCCAACCTTTAAATGAGAAGAAACATTGTCCTAGCCTTGATGCAGCAACATGTTTGGGCCTCTTATAACTTTGAAATTCTCATAAAACATAGAGTAGATCTTGGAGGTCTAAAGCCAGTTTGCCTCTTGCATATGTGACATTGAGCTAGACCAGGGGTTCCTAACTTTTCTGATACCACAATCCCTTTTTGATTTTTGAAAAACTGTTGTGTCTTTTCATTTTACCTTTACCCACCATCCAACCCCCCCTTTTTTAAAAAATGAAGTCATAATTTAAAAATGAAAACAAGTGCAAATCCAAAATGATTTTAAAGTAACGTGGTATGAAACAGCAACATTAAACAATTGCTTACGCTGATTAAAACATGTTTGTCATTACGAAAGTCTCGTAATCACCTGTGCGTCAATTTGGGAACCAATAAGCTCATATATGGACTGAATAATACAGCTTAGAAAAATGGGAAGAGCCAGGGAGTGTAGCCAAGTTCCTTGGATATAAAGGCTGAGTTGGTCATTGGTACCTAGCAGAACAAATTGTTTCCTCCTTGTGACATGTAATGGATCCTATTCTTGTATTGGATAAACAGCCTCTGTTTCTTTTTTGACTTTTTCACCCATCAATGGAGTCTGTGGCATGACAGAATGCAGCACACCTGAACTACCTACAAAAGACTTTTTTCTCTTGCACTTCTTTCAGACAAAATGGCTTTGTTTGGCAAAGAGAGGCTGAAGGATTATCGATTCCCCAGCTGGGAAAGCACATCTGGAGGAAAGAGACCTGAAGCGATAGTATATAGTGGAAGCCAGCACTCCTGCTGTTGACCCTGGGCTCTTGTTGAACAGCTTGGAGGCAGCAGACCCCACAATGGTACATAGACAGGTGGGAGGTGGGAGCAGAAAGAATGAAAGTTGTTCCATGAAGAATTTTTAAAAAAATAATTAGATAGATTGTATTCAGATGTGTTCACGTCCAAAAGAATAGGAAACAGACAGAGAGGCAAGCTGACATGATGATCCTTACCTCCTGCCAGCTGGAAGGCAGAGCTCAGCACATCGAGGGAACACACAAACAGGTACAAGAAGCCGAGCATGAGGGGCACCTTGAGGAGAGCAGTGAGGACAGACCTGGCCCTTGCACATCTACCAAGGGCTGCCAAGGAACAACACACATGAAACAGCCCTGTTAGTCTTTTTGTTTTCCTTTTTGTAATACATTTAATACAATCATGCATTATTAAGCGATCTCAGCCGGTTCAGCTTGCCACCCCAGACCACTGACACGCTCTGCGTACGCTCTTCTTTAATTCTGTTTTTCCTCACACTGAAGTTTCCATTGACAACAGGGAAGTTTAGTGCCCCCATGGAAGCCAAAAGGCAGCTGCCTCTGTGACAGAAATACTATATAGGCAAAGTCAAGTAGGGGAAAAAAAACATGGTTTAGTTAAGATCAAGGACACAAAATGGCTTCTAGCTCAGCTTGAGCCCCAACAGGTCTTTCTTTGGGTAAGAGGGTGGTGGCAAAGAGGCATCCTTCCACCAGGTTGGAGAGCCACGTTGGGGGAAAGCCCACTCCCTCTCCGCTCGAGCACAGGTTGCTCAGGAACAGTAAAGACCCTGCCAATCATCATTCTAGAAATGCTGAGCACCTCAGGGCAGAGCAATGGACAGAATTGGGAGCAGGAGTCCTCCAGCACCACCACCCCCCAAGCCAGCATGGGTAAACGAGAAGGAAGCAGCAGAAGTGTGTTCTGACACAAGACAAGCACCTGAACTCAGACCTGAGGGCAGTAGGAGAGAGGTTAGTGTAGCTTTGACTCCCCCTGCACGGTTCTTGACTCAGTTGCTTGTATTAGGAGAGACCTTCACTGCGGGATGTGTTCTGTCATAATATTTATTACAGTAGAACCTCAGTATCCACGGGATCACCACAGGATCAGTATCCATGATTTCACTTATCCACAGTCTAAAAATATTAAAATATTTAAAGAAAAAAATCCAGAAAAAACTGTTTTTATTTATTTGTTTATTTGTTTATTTGTTTATTTGTTTATTTGTTTATTTGTTTGTTTGTTTGTTTGTTGATTGGTTTATTTGATTTATTTGATTTATATTTATACCACTCGGAGCGGTTTTTGTATGTATTGTAGTACTAAAACTGGTCACTGAAAATATTAAAATATTACGGGGAAAAAATCCAGAAAAAAAACTATTTTTGTATGTATTGTAGTACTAAACCTGGCCACTAGAGAGAGTCAGACACCATGCTATGATTATTTGTTAATGAAAAATACATAGCATACTAGAGGGAGCCAGACACCATGCTATGAATATTTGTAAATGAAAAATACATAACGTTGGTTGTTGTGGATTTTCCAGGCTGTTTGGCCATGTTCTTAAAGTTTTTCTTGCCCACGTTTCACCTGTCTCTGCGGCCGGCATCTTCAGAGGACAGGAGTCAGAACTCTGTCTGTGCTCTGTTCTGTGCTCAGTTCTGACTCCTGTTCTCTGAAGATGCTGGCCACAAAGACTGGCGAAATGTTAGGAAGAAAAACCTTAAGAACACGGCCAAACAGCCCAGAAACCCCACAACAACCATTGGATCATGGCCATGAAAGCCCTCGAGAATACATCAATACATAGCATTGTCTCTGGTAATGCATGTGAAAATATTTTTTTTCTTTTGCCATGCTATATATATAGTTCACTATTGTCCACAGTTTTCAATACATAGCATTGTCTCTGGTAATGCACGTGAAAATATTATTATTTTTTTTGCCATGCTATATATAGAGATAGTTCACTATTGTCCACAGTTCTTAGTATTCATGGGGGCTTGGAACCAATCTACATCAGATATGGAGGTCCTACTGTACTTGGAAACAGATTGTATATATTTATTGCTGTTACATAATCTTGATGTTTGAATTCTAATAAGTGGGCAATCATTGATGATTCATGACAACGTTCCATTTAGTGCTTTAAAAATGCACTGGATCCTCTTCAGGCATTTTGATTATTGTTTTCAAATGCTTGCCGCCTTTATCTCAGATTTCATGTTGGAGCAATGGTTGGGTGACAGTGGAAATCCCAGCGGGCTTGTTGTTGTTGTTGTTGATGATGATGATGTTTTGTTAATCTACAAGATGGCCCTGTCACGCCTACCTTGTGCGGTCCAATCTCATGCCTATTCATTTACTCTGGGGTTGCAGCTTCACACCCAGAAAGAAACTGGGGGGGCTATGAAGTGTCTTTCATTGCTCCACATGACACAAACCTCACCACAGTTTAAAATGGCACCCAACGCACGTCAGTTTAAACCTCAGGTGGGCTCCCTCTGCAGTCACCTGGGCTTGTTTGGTGTGTGGCTGGACAGCAATGACTAGGAGTGTGGCAGCAGCAGTCGTGTCAGTGTATTTGATGGCTGGGGAGGCTGCTTGTCAGTGGGTGGCTGGGGATGCAACGGCAGCAGTGGTGATTGTGACAGTGCCAGCACCTTTGATGGGCACAGAAACATCCTGCCACCATCACTGCTGCCAAGATGCTCCTCAGCTGCCACTGCCATCCAGCTGTGAGAAATGCACACATTAAAATAGCCTGTCTTTCAAGTGGTTTCACTGCAGTTTGCAGATAACCTGCAGTAAAAAGCTCAGCTGTGGGTTACCTGCAAATGTGTACTTTCTGCCATGGTCAAAGTACATATAATTAGAAGAAGAAATCCCCGAAGTGCTGAAAGCTTCTGATTGTCAGAGCAGGAGTTCTTCCTACTTCCTGTAGTATGCAAATCAGTTTGCTTTTTGTTGTGATTGATTGGTCTTCTGGGGGGAAAAGACCTTGGTTCCACGAAGGTCTTCTGGAATCATGCCTCTGAAACATTAACGGGATCTCAGCTAGAATGACATGTCATCTGTAATGTATCATTTGGCCATCAAATGTTTCCTCTAAATTGAAAAGGACCCATTCCCAAGAAAAATGTGCGAAAGATTGCTGTCCTGAAAGAAGAACAATCATGGTTGAAAGGCTGAGTCACTGCATACACTAAGTGCCACATCCGGTCAAAATGACCCACATGTTTTATGATTGGAAACAAAAGTTCCAGTGTATCCACAATTAGCATAATGACTGTGCTAGCTCTTGCAGGAGCCATGAGCCAGCATCTGTCCAGACCTAAAGTAACCACATGGGAATATTTCCTTCATCTTGCTTGCATTAGGAGGATCTTTTCTCTGTTATTTTTGTTCTTGGATAAAAACAGCTCAGATTTCTCTCATCGTGATACAATCAAGAGGACAAGTCTCTTTCCTGCCTTAGATGCCACAAGGTTGTCTTCTTCACTCTGAGAGGCAGGCATAGCAGGAAGCCCTTCCTCTCCTTCAGGAGCCAGCCGGGGCCCTTCTGTCAGAAGCACAAGCCACAGCCATGCCAGGAACGTTTTTAATCCCTGCCACTACATCCCACAACTGAGGCAATGGCTGCTGTCAGTTTTGCTACGCATGAACAGAGTGGCTTCCTCTTCCCAGCCTCATCTACTGTCCGTCAGGGAATTGTGGCTGGAACGGACACCTAGATGCATCGCCTAACACTTTACTGTTTTGCCTTTTCTCTTCCCTTCACTTTATGTTGTTGGGTATCACGAGCAAGTGAATGCAATTCTGCTCATGCCCTGCTTGTGTGCTTCCCATAAACAGCTTGCTGGCCACTGTCTGAACAGAAAGCTGAACTATCTAGCCCTTCTGCCTGAGCCACCACAGAAGCACAGAATAATTAAGCTGGAAGGGGCCTCTAAGGCCACGAAACCAACCCCCTGCTTCATGCAGGAATTCAAGGTAAAGCATATCTGTCAGGTGGTTGTCTAACTTTCTCTTGAACGCCTCTCCGGAGGTTGAAGACCTCTCCACCTCCTGAGATAATTGGTTCCACTGTCAAACTTCTCTAATAATTAGGACGTTTTTCCTGATATTCAGCCGAAATCTGGCTTCCTGCACCTTGAGTACTGCATAACTCTATTTATGTTCTCATACCTTAAATATACATTATTTGAGGGAACCTTTTTTTGCCAGTGTGTGTATGGATGCATTATAAAAAACAGTTCGGTCCACCCCTTGCCACTGGATTGCTTGTGGGAGAATCTGTCCTGCAGAGTTGCCAAATGACCAGAAAAAAATTGGCCCAGCTTGTGTTTGCAGTTTTGATAGCAACCTGATGTGAAGAAGTCAACATTTAAAGCTTTTCAAAACATGGAAATAGTTATTAGTATTTGCTGCTACTGGTAGACAATTAAACGCACAAGAGCAGAAGGTAGCAAATGGCAATCCTGTGGAAAGTAAGATGATTGGTGGACTCTTTACTGACACCGTTACTAAGCAACAATATCAAAATTGTGAGGGTACTCACAACAAATGAAAGTGAGAAAGCAGAAATTTTATACACACAGTCCAAGCATAACCTATATACTGGAAAATTCAATGAACAAAATTAAATGATTTCTCTCTCTCTCTCTCTCTAATCTCTCTCTCTCTCTCTCTCGGTTGAAAGATTGCTTCCAATGTAATTTGTTGGAAGTAGCACTAAAATGGAGGTGGTCTCCAAAGACTGCTTCACATATTCAGACCATCTTATACTATTTCAGGATAAGCCTCCAGTTTAGAAAACTTTTTGTTTACTACAAATCCCAGTCCCTATGGCCACTGTAGCTGTAGGATTTTAGAAGCTGTCCAAAAATCTATTTTTTTTTCAAACTCTAAGTCAATCTCACTTAGCAAAAAATCCTGCTAAATCTTTAACTGTTAATTAAAGATTCCCCAACTCCGTTCATTTTTTTGCTTCCTAAGGAACTTGGGTGTGAATTACTGATGCATAATTTGTCAAAAGCCTTACAAAGAGATCTATGTCATGGCCCTGATATCAGTTTCTATTCCAGTGATAGTGGGAGATTAATTATTGATTTCTCATTAGGATTTTTTTTTCAAATTTCCAAAGAGGAAATAACATTACTTTACTATTTTCAGGAGGAAAAAGAAAGGAAATGGATATCAGTAGTTTAAGCCTCCCACTCAATGATCCATAAGGTTCCTTTCCAGCAGTTCTAATATTATATATTATAAAACACCTATTCAGCACCTCAGAAACAGAAATTGATATTGGGGCATTTAA